ACCAGCCTTCAACAAAAAGACTCAGAACCTGCTCCTATTCCCCGCTATCCTGTTCGCCTTCGTTATGGCCATCTTCTGGCTCTATATTCCCCCGCTCCAGCGCACGTTGAACACGACCAGCGTCCCCGCGATCCATTACTTTCTGCCTGCGGCATTTGGGGTGGGGATCGTGGTGCTGGATGAGCTGCGGAAGGCGGGAGTGAGGCGGTGGCCGAATGGGCTCCTGGCTCGATTCGCGTGGTGAGGTTGCGTTGCTTTTCTTTCTATTTGGCGCTTCGCTTTCTTTTGTGGGCGGTGGTTTTGAGGGAGTATTGGCTAGACGCTAGGCTACATACATATGTTGGCTTGGCTGGTAGGCCTACCGGCAGGTTGCACCCGGTTCCCGGTGCATGTTGGTTCCGGTTTCGACTAGGTTCTCTGCTTTATCCGAATGGGGTAGGTAGACTAGCTTGCAGTGCAGTGGTCTGGGTGGCTTTGGACTCTGTCATGCCTGGTTACTTACTAATTATGGGTTATGGCTGGGTCGGGAGAGGGGGGGCTTAGAGTTTTATTGTTTTTTCATTTCTTGATGTACATACATACATACTTAGTTACATATGATATAAGATAATTGCATGGGTAGGTGACTCCGGTAAGGCGAAGACAATGTCCTGTGTCTATTATTGATTGACTCATTACCCGGATACGGACATCCAGAGCGGTGTTTGCACATTTTGATCAGTAGTCAAGAATTAGTCTGGTCTACTGCCGGTACATCTGAAGACTAGGTATACCATGTGCAATCTGCAGGATTGACAGGCAAGCGCCGTGAATAAGACATGAGTATCATATTGCCATAAGCCCATTCCCAGTGCCTTTATCGTGGATCCAGACTGCCACAGTCTCCAACCTACACTTGCACTCGCGAAACAGGATTTAATTTCAGGTATCATGTATATTTGCTCATAGATCGGACTTTTTAAATAAGAAAAAATTTGGAAATCGGATTTCCAGGACATATACAGCCAACACCACCGAAGTATAGATAGAAGACGTTGCGTGAGATCGTTGCCAGATACAGGACCAGAGAAGGGCGAACGGCGGATTGGGGAAAGGAAAATTACAAGGTAGATGATAGATGGGATAGAGGAAGGTGAAAGAAACGGGGGGCGGGTTTGGGGGGTATTCTGTACAGATGCGGCGAGGGAGAGAGAAAGAGAGATGAAAGGGCAATCTATCACCAGAAGTAGGGGTTGCCGTAGACGTCTTCGTAGCATTGGTAGGAATCGGGGCAGCTATTGCGCGCTTCGGTTAGCATCGGTTGTTTGCGATGGAGCCGCAGAGGATAGTAGGATTAAGAAGACGTACTAGACAGGTTCCTGTCCGAAGATTATATGCCAAGTGTACTCCATAACACCCGCAGCCAGCTTGTCCGACAGCGGGGTGGTCAGCACCCACTCGTAGAACCACATGTAGTCGCTCAGGGGCCGCTGGAGCACCTGGTCGCGCGAGACGGCGAACTGCGAGCAGCAGGCGACGGCGACGACCTCGGGGACGTCGGTGTTGTTGAAGAGCTGCTCCCAAGCGTCCGCGTAGACTCGTTCGGTGGTCTGGCCCGACTGGGGCGGGTTGCGGAAGGGGCGGATCTCGTCCGGGCAGCCGGGGGTCATCTGGCAGCGGAGGTTTGCGTAGCCGTTGCGCTGGACGAAGTCGGTCTGCAGGGCGCGGATCGAGTCGACGTTGCTGTATTCCATGGTGTCGGTGTGCCAGGCGCCTGGGTAGCCGTCGCGGTGGCTGTGGATGAAGACGATCGTCGACGGGAGGTCGTCGTAGTGTTCAATGATGTATTGGAGGTAGGCGAGACTCTCGCGGCCCTTGTTCTGGGGGGTGTGTTTGGCGGCATTGACGTCGTCGACGGTGTAGATGTAATTGCGCCAGCTGCAAGGAAAAGAGCAGGGAGACTCCGTTAGCGAGACAATTCTGCTTCAATTGAGAGGCGCACAGCTGGAGATTCCGGCGCAGCCATGCATAGAAAACAAGAGAAGAGAGTTCGCAAAGATAAAGTTTGGATCGAGGGGAAGCATACTCCGCCAAGTCGTTGCTAACCCAAGCTGTATCCTCCGCGGCCAATTTGGCCATGACAATCACCCGATCATTGGGAACGATAATCGGGGTGGTTTCGTAGACTGGCCGTGACCCGAGCGCGATACCGTCGTCGTTGTCGTCCGCGGCCGCGGCGGGTTGATCCTTCTTCCCCCCTCCCACCACCGGGATTTCCTCCTTAGAGGCCGGGACAGTGGCATCCTTGCTCTTGTCGTTGGTCGCGGCGTCCGACGAGCCCGGACCGCCGCTTACGCCGTTGAAGCTCCAGCCGGACTGGACGCGCGAATCATCCTGGACGAGATCGAGGTGGCGCTTGATCAGGAAGATGGCGACGATAAGGAGGGCGGCCGTACCGATACGGTAGGATAGTCTCATTTCATAACATTTGCTTGCTGTCTTATGGCCGGCGGGGCTTTGGAATGAGGCGTGTGGGTGGCTGAGTTCTGGATAGAAGAAGATTCCAATGAGCGATCGGTTTAAGGCAAGGAGAAGGAGGAGAGGGGGTTGGAAGGGAGGAGGGAGGTAAGTAGTAATAAGAAGCGGAGAAATAAGGAGAGACACAGCGGGCAGCGGACACGGCAGGGCAAGACAGCAAATTAAACATGAGGGCAATTTAGGAAGACTTACTCTATGACGTCGAGTATTGTCTATGACTAGGGAATGGCGATTTCAGTCAGTCAAGAAAAGGCGAGGAAGGGAGTGATTGAAGAAGGAATGAATAGAAGGCAAAGAAGAAGAAAAGAAGCAACAGCAAAGCAGCAAAAGCAGCAATGAAGCAACGAAGCAGAAGCAGAAGAGCGGAAAGGAAAGAAGCAAGAGCCGGCCCCGTCGACGGGGGCCTGAGGCTTATCACCACTGGGTCTTTGCGCGGATTGGTGGATTGCCTGATGGAGAGTGGAAGGGTTGTATGTAAGTATTGTACTGTAAGACGTAATTTTACCCAGGCGCAGGAAATACCAGCCGATAAGTGGTGTCTGTAGATGGTAATTTCGCATTGTGAAGCATTTCAATGGACGATGAACAGGCTATTTTTACCAGAATTCAGACAGAGGTCTCACTTGTCCCATAGAATCATCCACACTGAATGCAATGCAATATTGTCAAGCAGCAATTGTTCTGTAGATAGAATAGTAATGTCTTCAACTAGGTAGGTAGTATGAGTATGTCGCCATCCCCCCTTGTAGTTGCGTTGCACATTACAGGCTTCTGTTCTTTTCTTCTTACCCCCTCACGTCGGACAACATGACGGGACGATCATTGCAGTCTTTCAGCCAAGTACCCAGTAAACTCCATCTCCGGTGGGACAAATAGAGTGAGTGCTGCCGCGTTTCCTCTCTCGGTGGGAAATGAACAATTCAGAGAGATTGTGGTGTGCCTGATCTGGGCCAGCGAGCCAGAAAAAGATCCACCGGCGAGTTCGAGTCTATCTCAAACGTCCCACCGCAACCGCGGGTGTGAGTGGCCACTGATAACCCGGCCATTCCACTTTGAACCCTTTTTTTTTTCCTGATGGCCTTTCTCTGCAGTTCCGGTTCTGGCCCGGTCTCAATCCCACGGTCAACAGCTGCACTGACAGTCAGCTTGATTATTCACACAAGCCTTGTTAGACGGTTCTGAATTCCAACCAAGAAGCTGTTGTGTAATGTGTACAGTACGGTACTCGCCTCGTTTGTGTGGAACAGACATCCGAGAGTCTTTGGACTGGTGGTATGTAGTACAGCAGCAGAGAGAAACAATGCCCTTGTCAATTGCCCTGCCCCCTCCCCCTCTTCTTCAATCACAACACAACCTCGGCAATTAAAAGGCCAGGACAATCGAACTCCCCCAAGAATCAATCCATCAATAGGAACAACCCCCAAACCCACCTGATGCTTGCCGATCAATCCATTCGTCCCTGTTGAGAAATGAAAATCTTGCATGATCGAGCAAGACAGGAGTAGCAGAGAGTCTGAAACACATCTTTTTCACGACTGTCAGCCCGCCCGGCCTGCGGGTGTGGGGCTCGTATCGGGCGCGGAGTTTTGTATCTTTCTTTGCCTGGAAAGGATCTGGCCCGTTGCAAACCTGGCAGGATCTTGTGGGAAGGGGGAGCTGGAGAGCTCGGAGGGCCTCGTGAAGGGTTATATTAAACGACATTCGAGGTTTGCAAGTTTACGCAATCGTGGTCTGTTCGCTAGTAGGCTTAAGACCATGAATAACCTAATGATACATTGTACAAGCAGAACCTCTTCAATATTTGTAAGACGGTTGTTTGTTTTCAGAGGAAGGCTTGTCCCACATTCTCATTCTACTAATGTTACCCATCGCCTGGAATATCTCAAACAGTCAGCAATACGACGACCATTAAATCAACACGACTCGCTTGACTTTTCTCTTTCTTTCTACGAGTATGTTCAAATAGCACCTCAAAAACACATTCAACAATACCTGGACCAAACACACCAAAAAAGAAAATCCAGACGATGACCTCATAACTCACCAATCTCAAAAGCAAGGGCACACGATTTGATGCATGTTTTTTTTTCCCGGCAGAAACAATCATAATACCTACAAAGGCGAATCCGGATCAGAGGCCATCGTGACAGCACGACCAAGATGCCCTAATGAATAGACCTGAGTGAGTAGCTCAGATGCAAAACGATGTTACTTCCTATAAGGCATTTCAGAGACGAGATGAGATGTAAGCTGGCTTACTATCACTGTTGGCGGTTGCAAGCTCATATGGCATCGTCAGCTTCAACTGACCAGAGTACTCTAGAAACAGTTCATATCATGTCCATTAGATCCTCCCAGAAGCGCCCTAATAAGATCTATCTAACGACCACCCAAATCCGATGCCATGCCAGCAATCATAGTGTAGCAGTCCAAGCAAAACCACAAGATAAAGAAAGAGAATGAAAAAAAAACCGGGGGAGTGAAAAAAAAGTACAAACACAGCATGAAGAACAGAAGAATCAAAAGTCGTATACATCGTCATCAAATCATGCAAAATGGAGGAGAGAAATGCCGAATGCAGGTCGAACGCCCAACCGATGTCCTCTCAACGCAAAGAACATACAGGGACCGAGCAGTGGATGCGATGGCGCGAGGCAGGAAGACATAAGTTGTGGAGATGCCGTGCAGAGGTAGATGACAGCCGGAAACGAGAACCGATGAACGCGCGCGATCAGCAGCATCCCCCTTTCTTCCTGGCCACCTCCACCGGAACATCGACCTCATCTCCCTGGCTGCTGGGCGGAAACCCAAGCCAACTGCGCCGCTTGTCGCCATACCCCAGGCGAAAGCTACCGCTGCCATCGATATTCGCCGGACTGGCCGGGGGCATCCCATCGAGCGAGGACGGCGACAGCAGCGACGGGCTCAGCCCGGCCTCGCGCTTGTTGCGCTGCTCGACCAGCTTCCTCGTGATCACCCGGAACACCTCCTCGATGCCCTCCCCGTCCTTGGCGCTGATCTCGTGGCAGCAGTCCCATCCGATATCCTGGCCCCAGAACCCGCTGCTGCGCTTGCTGTCGATGCCCTGGGGCGTGCTGGACGAGGGGCCGTATCCCGCGGACGGAGGAGGGGTCGAGGCTTGGGTGGGGTAGAGCTGTTCGGCGACGTAGGCGATGGTGCGCTCGAAGGGAACCCGGCGGCGCGTGGGTTCCATGGTCACGATGTCGGACTTCGTCCCCACCACGTGGATCACGATGGGGTCGTCCTCGAAGACGTTCTTCTTGAGCTCGAGGAGCCACCCGGTCATTTCTTGGAAGCTCTGTTCGTCGGTGATGTCGTAGCAGAGGAGGCAGGCGTTGGCGCCGCGGTAGTAGAGTCGCGAGATGCTCCGGAACCGTTCCTGGCCAGCAGTGTCCCAGATTTGGAGGCGAACAATGGTATCGGAGGCGCTGTCGAGGACGCGTTTCGTGACAAAGGAGGCGCCGACGGTGGAGGCGGTGCCGGCGGGATCGAAGGCGTTTTTGACGTAGCGTTGGACGAGGGAGGTTTTGCCCACGCCTGCTCCATGGATGTGTGTTAGTAGAGATACATGTAGTGTTTGTGTCTGCTATTTTGTTGTTGGGAAAAATAACTGACCCTGGGCGCCGAGGACCACAATCTTGGCCTCAAGAGATGAGCTCATGGCGGGGTAGAGAAAGAGGCGGGGCCGAGGGAAAGCTGGATTTGCATGTTCCAGCAGGAAGAAGGGGTAAATGAAAGAGCGCGCACGCGCAAATGAGATAAGTTTGTACAAGAAGAAAAGGGAAAGAAGGAAAAAAAGGCAAAGAGAGAGAATGAAAGAGAGTGTGAGAGGAAAACAAGCGAGAGGCGTGGAGTGTGAAAGGATCAGTCAGTCAGTTAGAGTCAAGCAAGCAAGCAGGCAAGCAAGCAGGATTCAAGGAAGACGAGCAGCAGCAGCAGCAAGCAGTCATTTCCAAGAAAGCGGGAACGAGGCTCAAACAACCAACTCACCAGCCATTCGTTCATTCACTTCTTCATTTCATTGATTCACTTCAGCCCCCCCCCTCCTCCCTCCTCCACCCTTTGACCCTCCCCCTAAGATCAAATCGGGGCCATCACGAACTAAAGCAGATCAGCCGATCACTGACGTCTGTCTGTCGTGCTCGCCGGTCCGCTCTTCCCTCCTCTGATCGCAGTCGACTGGACTGTGAACAAGAATCGCAACACACGAATGAACAACTCAAGCCACTTAATCAAAGCTGTGTGCAAATGAGCTAAACACTCATTGCAATCAATGATGTTCACATCCAGACGCAACGGTGAAATCCGAGTAGTTCCCTTCCCCCCCAAGACCCTTCCTTCGGCCCCCCTTACAGGGATCAGCTGGGCTTGCTTGGCTGCAGAACTTCTAGCCACGGAATTCGCCTCGGAAACATTCACAATCAGAAGAACAACACTCCCTCCCTTCAATCGGTCTTTTCCGGAGCCAATGCCGATGACTGTGAATGATGGACAATGTCCGAGAGTTCATTCCATATTTGCAAATTTTAAGCCTCCGTCCAGAGCTATTGCAGGGCACAGACCGCTAGAAGGTGCGAGAGCCCGGAAAGAACGAGGTTTGAGCTTCTAGCCTTTTTTCTCCTTTCCCTTCCCTTCCAAACTCCCCCCCAAGCGATAAGCGACCGACAGACCCGAAACTCGGACCACCTGCATGCAGGTCCCGCGGATTTCTACCACTCATCTTTCAACCAGACAGTCGGGACTTGGTCGAGACTTTAATCTACTCGCGACAGGCGAATTTAGAATCTACGAATAGAAAGTGGCCAAATCCAAGAAAATGCGTTCTTGAAATCATTCCATGTTCTATCCACACCTTTTATGGGTGGTGGTCGGCCATTCTCGCAACAATGGCCGTCCTGAGAAATGTACAGAAACTCTCACCCTAAGGCAAGACAAGACAAACATTTGAGCCTCGACCTGTTCCACACTTGTCAAGTCACTCAGGGGGTAATCGCGTAAGAAAACACAAAAAGATCACAACAGTAATTTGGGGGAATCTATATGTTCAACGGCTACGCCGAGTCGGGGGGCGTAGTCCGAAACAATGCCAATAACAAAATCATGCCTGCCCGGCCGTAGACCGGCGCGGTCCTCTGTCATACCAAAGTGACAGCAGTTTTGGAAGACACGATAACAACATCACAATCAAAGAAAAGAAGAAAAAAAAAAAGGACCGAGCATTGAAGCTTCATCTAGCCGCCTTCGAGAGCGTCACTCAAGCGCAGACAACCAGGGCTGCCAGCAACGAAAGGCCCGAAGCATACAACACGTAAAAGCATTGACTCAAACGTCATGAAATGACATGCGAGTACTTTACTCAAAGTCCTTGCCGCTGTTCGAGCCGGACAGATCAGCAGCGCTCGTCTTTTCTTCGTCGTTGGCGCCACCGAATCCGTACTCCATGGCCTTCTGCTCGACTTCGTCGTCCGTAAGCTTGGGAAGATCCTTGGCAGCCTTGACGTAGCTGATGTTTTCGGTAAAGCCCTTGGCGAAGATAATGTCGATTTCCTCCAAGCTTCGGTTGGCTGTCTCCGGGTAAAAGAACCAGATGAAGGGAATGAAGAGGGCGTTCATGGCAGCGAAGAAGCAGTAAGTACCCCAGCCAATGCTAGACACCATCACGGGGGTAATCATAACAACGAAGAAGTTGAACAGCCAATTACTGCATGTAGACACAGCGTTTGCCTTGGCCCGAGTCTTGATAGGTGACAACTCGGCCGGGTATAACCAGGGCAGGGGAAGCCAAGTAGCACCAAACGCAGCCATGTAGAGGAAAATGCCGAAAATCGATCCCTTGGCCGTCGACTTAGTTCCGGGAATAAGGCAAGCGAAGGTAATAATCATCGCAACACACTGAACGATAGAACCACCGAGGAAAAGCTTGCGGCGACCAATCTTTTCAATAAAGAACCAGGAAAATGTAGCAAAGATAGCATAGACAATCATGTTGACGCCGGAGATCAAGAGAGCGAAGTTAGTACCCTCTTTAAGATTTTCTTCGAGGAGCAGGGGCAAGTAGTAGATGACCGCGTTGCAGCCACCGAGTTGCTGAAAGATCTGAGACGAAGAGCCGATCAACATACGACGAAGATGTTGAGAACGACCGCCGGTGAGCAGGTCACGATATGTTACACCCTGACCCGCAGCACTCGAACTATTGACATCGGTGTTAGCCTCCCGCGCGACCAGGAACTCAGATTCGCAATGGCTGCGAAGGTGACTAGACTTACGCTCTGATGGAGTCGATGACCAGCTGCTTCTGGAGCTGTGTCTCGTGGTCGTTGATTTCAAAGCCACCCAGAGCCGCCAGTACGTACTCTCCCTCCTGAACGCGATCCTTGGCAATCAGATAGCGTGGGGAGTCCGGAAGGTAGTACATTCCGACGATGATAATCAATCCAAAGAAGATCTGGAAGGCGATTGGGAAACGCCACACGAGATCCTTGTTGCCGAAGTGGGCACCGTAATCGATCCAGTAGGCAATAGCAGTACCGATAGCGATGATACCACCCTCGATACAGATCAAAAGACCACGGTTGCTTGTCTTCGAACATTCAGCCTGGTAAGTAGGAATGGTTGAGGTGTTCATTCCGTTCCCGATACCGGTGATGACACGACCGATGAAGAATTGTAACAGGGGGATGTGGCCGGCAAACGAGGTAACCTGGATAATGACACCGATAATCATGATGGTGGCTCCGCACATGATGATCAAGCGACGGCCAAGCCTATCACCAAAGAACAGAGCGAACAAAGCGCCAAACAAGCAGCCTGCATTGTGTGGTCGTTAGGAATGATCAAGGACTCTAACCGGATATAGACTGGGAAGTAGACGAACCCAACTCATAGACCGAGGTCACCAGGGCCTGCATCGTGGCATTGCCCTTGGTAGCAGTGAAAAGGTCTTGGAAAGCCGTGTCGCTGATAATACCGGACATGACACCCTCTATAGTGAATTAAGATTAGCTCAAGACTCTTCATGGTGGCACCCAGAGGCACCCAGTGAAGGATCAAGACATACGATCGTAACCGAACAAAAGGAAGCCCATCGTAGCAATGGCCGAGATTGACACGGACAATTTCTTGCCCGACATCCCTGCGTACGTCGGCGCCATGGTGGAAGGATCTGTACAAGATAACGACAAACACTGGGGGAAAAAATAGGTGTAGAGGTTGAGGAATCCCAGTCAAGGCGGATGGGATATCTAGTAGAGCGATCGAACACTTAAGTTGAGTCGCTCTCTTCTCCAATGAACTCCCGTTTCAGTCGAGTCTCCCTTTGCTCTGTTTCACCCAGGGCTAGGAAAGGAGGAGAAGGAGGGATAGGATAGAGATGAGTGAGAATGAGACAAAAACCGAACGCGGAGAAGTCGGGGAGGGAAGGGGGGGGGATTATCTACTTATTCCCATGGTGCTCACGGTCTCATGCATGCTGGTTGACAATCTCTTATCCCCCAAGCTGCTGCGCGACTACTCCACTAGTCGGCGACGTACATTGAAAACATAACCACACTCCTCATTATTGTTTGTTTTGTAGTGCAGCAGGGGACCGAATGCATCAATAACGCTGGGTTAAGCATCTTTTGGGGGTGGATCCAGAGGCCCACTGTGGGTGGGCAATGAGCAATGACATCACGGCATTCTCCTTGGGACCACTAAAACATTTCCCTAGAAATTGATTTAATTATTTTGCTTGTTTTCTTAAACAATTCAGGAAATGAAAAAGAGGAAAAAAAAAAAAAAAAAGGCAAGACATAAATGGAGGGGGAAAATATTGTAGCCGCAAAAAAGGGGGACCGGGAGGAAGGCAAAGAATCGTACCAAGGATTGTTATTCCCACCCGAGGCTACCTGAGAATCGGGATGGGCCCTGCAGGTGTCCCTTTGTGGGTGAGGGAGTTAACATAGCAGGTGTCATCGATATTGTCCATTTCCGACACACAGGTTAAGACGCAGCATCGGAGCCATAATGGAAGCAAGGCTACAAGCCTGTGACATGTCTAGCAGTCACAAGTACGTGGCTGTGGTGTCCGGCAAATGCTTTTCGGCTCAGTGTGCATCAAGGAATAGAGGATACTGTCGGTAGAAAGGTCCGGCGTAGAAGATCGGATGATGGGTAGCCCAGCTGCCTGCCGGAGCGGAACCGCCGATTTCCAGCGTGGAATCAACTGTGCAGGGCTGAGTTGCCTGTTGAATTGGCATGTTCCACTCAATTGAGCAACTCAAGCGAGGGGTTTTTCATCGGGAATCCTCGTGCCGGCTGAATAATCTTCATGTTATCTCGCCTGCCTGGAGTCAGTGCCCGCTCCCGGGGGAATCTGAATGCGGGCGCCATTGTTGTTGCACTATTTGAGCCTCCTAGACTCGATTTCCGCTGCCTAACATCCACCATGATCAGGGTTCAACACACGTCTATTGCGACTGCATCACATAAATAAATCTCCCTGCCCATGCAACCCCAGGTCACTTGAGGCACATGAGGCAATGATGGTCAAAACTGAATGCGCGCAGCAGTCGGCCTTCCTTCGGGATGCCGTTTCCGTAGGCAGTTCCATAAAGTTTTCCTGACTACGCCTAGCGTTCAGACTGCAAGGTGAGACGACCTTGCGCCAATGGCAATATTCAATTAGCTTATAAGGAATACCTATTATCCATATTATTTTCGAAAATATCGAATGTCCGACTGGAAGAGGTTTGGTCAGGTAGGGTTAACACATATCTTCCACCAGTCCATTGCCCTTGGGTGGGAGGCCCTCGTTGCTGATTCGGTCCCACCGCTCACCAAAGTCTGGTTGCTCCCCACTTAATCTTCCCCTCTCCATCTCCAGGCTCCATTTCCCCTCCCATAATATGGGTTCAATATCCCTCCGCGTCTTTCTACTCCGTCGCGAGTCACGCAGTTCTTCGCGATTTTGTCATTCCAGCCTTCTCAACCCGTGGTTTTCGTACTTCTGTCTACTTTGCGAGGTACACCTACTAGGATTTAGATTCTCAACT